TGTTGGATCCGGCTGCTCCCGGCTTGGCTCGGGATGGAGCTGGGAAAACGGGAACAGCCTGGCAGCCACGGCAGCCTGGGAATTGCATCCCAAATATCCCGACAACATCCTGGAAATCGCATCCTAAATATCCCATTGGTATCCTGGGAATCGCATCCCAAATATCCCATTGATATCCCGGGAATCGCATCCCAAATATCCCATTGGTATCCCGGGAATCGCATCCCAAATGTCCCAATGGTATCCTGGGAATCGCATCCCAAATATCCCAACAGGAGCCCGGGAATCGCATCCCAAATATCCCAACAACATCCTGGGAATCGCATCCTAAATGTCCCATTGGTATCCTGGGAATCGCATCCCAAATATCCCAACAGCATCCTGGGAAAGGCATCCCAAATATCCCAATGGCATCCTGGGGATCACATCCCAAATATCCCAACAGCATCCTGGGAATTACATCCCAAATGTTCCAACGGCATCCCAGGAATCGCATCCCAAATGTCCCAATAACATCCTGGGAATCGCATCCCAAATGTCCCATTGGCATCCTGGGAATCACATCCCAAATGTTCCAACGGCATCCCAGGAAACACATCCCAAATATCCCAACAGCATCCCGGGAATCGCATCCCAAATATCCCAACAGCATCCCGGGAATCGCATCCCAAATGTCCCAACAGCATCCTGGGAAACGCATCCCAAATGTCCCAATGGTATCCCGGGAATCGCATCCCAAATATCCCAACAGCATCCCGGGAATCACATCCCAAATATCCCAACAGCATCCCGGGAATCGCATCCCAAATATCCCATTGGTATCCCGGGAATTGCATCCCAAATATCCCAACAGCATCCCGGGAATCGCATCCCAAATATCCCAATAACATCCTGGGAATCGCATCCCAAATATTTCTGATCCCCCGAATCTCGGGAATCACATCCCAACCATCCCATGAACATCCCGGGAAACACATCCAAACCTTCCCATCAGTATCCCAAGAAACCCCACACCCCATAACCCCACACCCCATAATGATGGCACCCCATTAACCCTGCTCCCAGTGACCCCAGTGTCACCCATATCCCACATCCCACATCCCATATCCCACATCCCATATCCCATATCCCATATCCCATATCCCATATCCCATATCCCATATCCCACATCCCACATCCCATATCCCACATCCCATATCCCATATCCCATATCCCATATCCCATATCCCATATCCCATATCCCATATCCCACATCCCACATCCCATATCCCACATCCCATATCCCATATCCCATATCCCATATCCCATATCCCATATCCCATATCCCACATCCCACATCCCATATCCCACATCCCATATCCCATATCCCATATCCCATATCCCATATCCCATATCCCATATCCCATATCCCATATCCCATATCCCACATCCCACATCCCACATCCCATATCCCACATCCCATATCCCATATCCCATATCCCATATCCCATATCCCATATCCCACATCCCATATCCCACATCCCATATCCCATATCCCATATCCCATATCCCATATCCCATATCCCATATCCCATATCCCATATCCCATATCCCATATCCCATATCCCACATCCCATATCCCATATCCCATATCCCATATCCCATATCCCACATCCCAAATCCCACATCCCACATCCCACATCCCATATCCCATATCCCATATCCCATATCCCATATCCCACATCCCACATCCCATATCCCATATCCCATATCCCATATCCCATATCCCATATCCCATATCCCATATCCTGTATCCCACATCCCATATCCCATATCCCACATCCCATATCCCACATCCCATATCCCACATCCCAATATCCCATATCCCATATCCTGTATCCCACATCCCATATCCCACATCCCATATCCCATATCCCCTATCCCATATCCCATATCCCATATCCCACATCCCACATCCCATATCCCATATCCCATATCCCATATCCCATATCCCATATCCCATATCCCACATCCCATATCCCACATCCCATATCCCATATCCCATATCCCACATCCCATATCCCATATCCCACATCCCATATCCCATATCCCATATCCCATATCCCACATCCCATATCCCACATCCCATATCCCATATCCCATATCCCACATCCCATATCCCATATCCCACATCCCATATCCCATATCCCACACCCCATATCCCACACCCCATATCCCGAAATCAGCGGGACACGGAGCTGGAGAGGAGAGCACGGAGCTGCTCCGAGAGCCGGGAATGTTCCCCTGGATCAGGGAAGGATCCAGGGAATCCTTGGAGCCGCTTCCTGATCCCAAAGGGGCTCCAGGAGAGCTGGAATTTGGGGAAGGGCTGGAGGGGCAGGAGCCAGGGAATGGAATTCCCAGTGGGAAAGGGGAGCTTGGGATTTTGGGATCTGGGGCAGGAATTCCCGGCTGGGCTGGAATTCCCAGAGAATCCCTGGGAATATCCAAGGAAAGGTGGGATGGGATAATGGGATAATGGGATGGGATGGGATGGGATGGGATGGGATGGGATGGGATGGGATGGGATGGATGGGATGGGATGGGATGGGATGGGATGGGATGGGATGGGATGGGATGGGATGGGATCCATGGGATGGGATCCATGGGATGGGATCCATGGGATGGGATCCATGGGATTGGGTGCAGGTGGAGACACAGCTCTGGGGCAGGGTTGGGATTTGGAGTTTGGGATCTGGGCCTTGGGATTTGGAGTATGGGACCTGTTCCCAGGGTAGGGATTTGGGCTTTGGGGTTTTGGGATGTGTTCCTAAGTTTGGGATTTGGGATTTGGGTTTTGGGAGCTGTTCCCAGGGAGGGGATCTCGGCTTTGTGGTTTGGGAGCTGTTCCCAGATTTGGGGTTTGGGTTTGGGAGCTGTTCCCAGATTTGGGGTTTGGGTTTGGGAGCTCTTCTGAGATTTGGGGTTTGGGAGTGGTTCCCAGGTTTGGGATCCAGGCTTTGCGGTTTGGGAGCTGTTCCCAGGGTTGGGCTTTGGGGTTTTGGGAGCTGTTCCCAAAGTTGGGATTTGGGCTTTGGGGTTTTGGGAGCTGTTCCCAGAGTTGGTATTTGGGATCTGTTCCCAGAGCTGGGATTTGGGGTTTTGGGAGCTGTTCCCAGAGCTGGGATTTGGGGTTTGGGAGTTGTTCCCAGGTTTGGGATTTGGGGTTTGCGGTTTGGAACCTGTTCCCGGAGTTGGGATTTGAGGTTTTGGGAGCTGTTCCCAAAGTTGGGATTTGGGACCTGTTCCCGAGCTGGGATTTGGGGTTTGGGAGTTGTTCCCAGAACTGGGATTTGGGATTTGGGACCTTTCTCAGAGCTGGGATCTGGGACCTGTTCCCAGGTTTGGGATTTGGGGTTTGGGACCTGTCCCAGAGCTGGGATTTGGGACCTGTCCCAGAGCTGGATTTGAGACCTGTTCCCAGAGTTGGGATTTGGGGTTTGGGAGCTGTTCCCAGAGTTGGTATTTGGGACCTGTCCCAGAGCTGGGATTTGGGATCTGGGACCTGTTCCAGAGCTGGGATTTGGGACCTGTTCCCAGGTTTGGGATTTGGGGTTTGGGAGTTGTTCCCAGAGCTGGGATTTGGGGTTTGGGAGTTGTTCCCAGAGATGGGATTTGGGACCTGTTCCCAGAGCTGGGATTTGGGATTTGGGACCTGTCCCAGAGTTGGGATCTGGGACCTGTTCCCAGGTTTGGGATTTGGGGTTTGGGAGTTGTTCCCAGAGCTGGGATCTGGGATTTGGGACCTGTTCCCAGGTTTGGGATTTGGGGTTTGGGACCTGTTCCCAGGTTTGGGAGTTGTTCCCAGAGCTGGGATATGGGACCTGTTCCCAGAGTTGGGATTTGGGGTTTGGGGCCTGTTCCCAGGTTTGGGATTTGGGGTTTGGGACCTTTCCCAGAGCTGCATTTGGGACCTGTTCCAGAGCTGGGATTTGGGGTTTGGGAGTTGTTCCCAGAACTGGGATTTGGGACCTGTTCCCAGAGCTGGGATCTAGGACCTGTTCCCAGGTTTGGGATTTGGGGTTTGGGACCTGTTCCCAGAGTTGGTATTTGGGATCTGTCCCAGAGCTGGGATCTGGGGTTTGGGAGTTGTTCCCAGAGTTGGGATTTGGGATTTGTGAGTTGCTCCCAGAGCTGGGCTCTAGGACCTGTTCCCAGGTTTGGGATTTGGGGTTTGGGATTTGGGGTTTGTGAGTTGTTCCCAGGTTTGGGATTTGGGGTTTGTGAGTTGCTCCCAGATCTGCGCTCCAGGACCTGTTCCCATTTTTGGGAACCGCGCTCCGGGATTCGGGATCACTTCCCTGAGCGGACACCTCTCCGGGCACCATCCGCGCTCCGGGAACCGCTCCGGGAACCCTCCGGGCACCGCTCCGGGAACCGCTCCGGGAACCGCTCCGGGAACCGCTCCGGGCACCGCTCCGGGCACCGCTCCGGGAACCGCTCCGGGAACCGCTCCGGGAACCGCTCCGGGCACCATCCACACTCCGGGAACCGCTCCGGGAACCGCTCCGGGCACCATCCACACTCCGGGAACCGCTCCGGGAACCGCTCCGGGCACCATCCCCGCTCCGGGAACCGCTCCGGGAACCGCTCCGGGAACCGCTCCGGGAACCTCTCCGGGCACCATCCACGCTCCGGGAACCGCTCCGGGCACCGCTCCGGGAACCGCTCCGGGAACCGCTCCGGGAACCGCTCCGGGAACCGCTCCAGGAACCGCTCCGGGCACCGCTCCGGGAACCGCTCCGGGAACCGCTCCGGGCACCATCCACACTCCGGGAACCGCTCCGGGAACCGCTCCGGTCCGTCCCCAGCGGGGCCCCGTGCGACCCTCGGGGGGTCCCCGCGGGCGGTGGTGCTGAAGGACAGCTCCGCCCCCTCCCCTCCCCCATCCTCCCCCATCCCTCCTCCTCCTCCTCCTCCTCCTCCTCTCCCTCTCCGCCGCCGCTGCCGGTCCTCCCCCGCCGCCGCCGTGCCCGCCGCCGCCGCCATGCCCCCACCGGCCCCGCCGCGCCCCGCGGCCGCCGCCGGCGCACCATGAAGCGGCAGAACGTGCGGACGCTGGCGCTGATCGGCTGCACCTTCACCTACCTGCTGGTGGGCGCCGCCGTCTTCGACGCGCTCGAGTCCGAGGCGGAGACGGCGGAGCGGCGGCGGCTGGAGGCCAAGAGCGACGAGCTGAGGAGAAAGTACAACCTGAGCGCCGAGAGCTACCGGGAGCTCGAGCGGGTGGTGCTCAAGCTCAAGCCGCACAAGGCCGGCGTCCAGTGGAAATTCGCCGGTTCTTTCTACTTCGCCATCACCGTCATCACCACCATAGGTACCGGCTGCCCCCCGCCCCGCCCGGCTCCCCTCGTTCTGCCGCTGGGATCGGGGGATCCGCACAGGAAGCGCCGGGAAAGCCCCGCCTGGCCCCGGGGGAGTGGGGGGAAAGAGGGAGATCGGGGATTTCTCCGCCCGGAGACACCCCCCCGCCGCTGCCGCCCGTCCCGTGGGAGCGGGAGATCCCCCTGCCAGGACCTTCTGCCTTCTTATCCCTTGGGATTGCGGCGATCACCCTGCCAGGACCCTCCTCACTCTTATCCCGTGGGATCAGGGCGATCCCCCTCTCTCCCATCCCGGTGTTTTTAGGGCCATTCCCCTGCCAGGACCTTCCTCTCTCCCATCCCGGTGGGACCGGGAAGATCCCCCTGCCAGGATCCCCCTGTCTCCCATCCTGGTGTTTTGGGGGCGATCCCCCTGCCAGGACCCTCTGCTTTCCCATCCCGATGGGGCCGGGAGATCCCCCTGCCAGGACCCTCCTCTCTCTTATCCCTTGGGACCGGGAGATCCCCCTGCCAGGACCCTCCTCTCTCCCATCCCGGTGGGATCGGGCGATCCCTCCCCAGCTCCTCCAGAACCGGGAAATACCAACCAGGACCCCCCTGTCACCCATCCCTTGGGATCGGGGCCATCCCCCTGCCAGGACCCTCCTCTCTCCCATCCCGATGGGATCGGGGCGATCCCCACTGCCAGGACCCTCCTGTCTCCCATCCCGGTGTTTTTGGGGCCATCCCCCTGCCAGGACCCTCCGCTCTCCCATCCCAATGGGATCGGGGCAATCCCCCTGCCAGGACTCCCCTGTCTCCCATGCCTTGGGATCGGGGCGATCCCCCTGCCAGGACCCTCCTCTCTCCCATCCCGTGGGACCGGGGTGAACCCCCTGCCAGGACGCCCCTCTCTCTTATCCCGATTTGACCGGGGCAATCCCCCTGCCAGGACCCTCCTCTCTCCCATCCTGGTGGGATCGGGGCCATCCCCCTGCCAGGACCCTCTGTTTTCCCATCCCTTGGGATTGGGGCGATCCCCCTGCCAGGACCCTCTCCCTTCCCATCCCGATGTGACCGGGGCGATCCCCCTGCCAGGACCCTCCTCTCTCCCATCCCGGTGTTTTGGGGGCGATCCCCCTGCCAGGACCCTTCTCTCTCCCATCCCGGTGTTTTGGGGGCCATCCCCCTGCCAGGACCCTCCTCTCTCCCATCCCTTGGGATAGGGGCGATCCCCCTGCCAGGACCCTCCTCTCTCCCATCCCGGTGGGATCGGGCGATCCCTCCCCAGCTCCTCCAGAACCGGGAAATACCAACCAGGACCCCCCTGTCTCCCATCCCTCGGGATCGGGGCGATCCCCCTTCCAGGACCCTCCTCTCTCTTATCCCTTGGGATTGGGGCGATCCCCCTGCCAGGACCCTCCGCTCTCCCATCCCGGTGTTTTTGGGGCCATCCCCCTGACAGGACCCTCCTCTCTCCCATCCCGGTGGGATCGGGGCGATCCCCCTGCCAGGACCCCCCTGTCTCCCATCCCGGTGTTTTTGGGGCGATCCCCCTGCCAGGACCCTCCTCTCTCCCATCCCTTGGGATCAGGGCGACCCCCCTGACAGGACCCTCCTCTCTCCCATCCCTTGGGATCGGGGCGATCCCCCTGCCAGGACCCTCCTCTCTCCCATCCCGGTGGGATCGGGCGATCCCTCCCCAGCTCCTCCAGAACCGGGAAATACCAACCAGGACCCCCCTGTCACCCATCCCTTGGGATCGGGGCCATCCCCCTGCCAGGACCCTCCTCTCTCCCATCCCGATGGGATCGGGGCGATCCCCACTGCCAGGACCCTCCTGTCTCCCATCCCGGTGTTTTTGGGGCCATCCCCCTGCCAGGACCCTCCGCTCTCCCATCCCAATGGGATCGGGGCAATCCCCCTGCCAGGACTCCCCTGTCTCCCATGCCTTGGGATCGGGGCGATCCCCCTGCCAGGACCCTCCTCTCTCCCATCCCGTGGGACTGGGGTGAACCCCCTGCCAGGACCCCCCTGTCTCCCATCCCTTGGGACCGGGAGATGCCCCTGCCAGGACCCTCTGCTTTCCCATCCCGGTGGGACCGGGAAGATCCCCCTGCCAGGAACCCCTGTCTCCCATCCTGGTGTTTTGGGGGCGATCCCCCTGTCCAGATTCCAGTTTCTCCCATCCCGGTGTTTTTGGGGCCATCTCCCTGCCAGGACGCCCCTCTCTCTTATCCCGATGTGACCGGGGCAATCCCCCTGCCAGGACCCTCCTCTCTCCCATCCTGGTGGGATCGGGGCCATCCCCCTGCCAGGACCCTCTGTTTTCCCATCCCTTGGGATTGGGGCGATCCCCCTGCCAGGACCCTCTCCCTTCCCATCCCGATGTGACCGGGGCGATCCCCCTGCCAGGACCCTCCTCTCTCCCATCCCGGTGTTTTGGGGGCGATCCCCCTGCCAGGACCCTTCTCTCTCCCATCCCGGTGTTTTGGGGGCCATCCCCCTGCCAGGACCCTCCTCTCTCCCATCCCTTGGGATCGGGGCGATCCCCCTTCCAGGACCCTCCTCTCTCTTATCCCTTGGGATTGGGGCGATCCCCCTGCCAGGACCCTCCGCTCTCCCATCCCGGTGTTTTTGGGGCCATCCCCCTGACAGGACCCTCCTCTCTCCCATCCCGGTGGGATCGGGGCGACCCCCCTGACAGGACCCTCCTCTCTCTTATCCCTTGGGATCGGGGCGATCCCCCTGCCAGGACCCTCCTCTCTCCCATCCCGGTGGGATCGGGGCGATCCCCCTGCCAGGACCCCCCTGTCTCCCATCCCGGTGTTTTTGGGGCCATCCCCCTGCCAGGACCCTCCTCTCTCCCATCCCGGTCTGATCGCGGCCATCCCCCTGCCAGGACCCTCCTCTCTCCCATCCCTTGGGATCGGGGCGATCCCCCTGCCAGGACCCTCCTCTCTCCCGTCCCGGTGGGATCGGGGCGATCCCCCTGCCAGGACCCTCCTCTCTCCCATCCCGGTGGGATCGGGGCGGTCCCCCTCTCTCCCATCCCGCTGTTTTTGGGGCCATTCCCCTGCCAGGACCCTCCTCTCTCTTATCCCTTGGGATCGGTGTGATCCCCCTGCCAGGACCCTCCTCTCTCCCATCCCGCTGTTTTTGGGGCGATTCCCGTGTCCCTGTAGGGTCCCCGTAGGGTCCCCAGCCCCACGGGAACAGGGACGTGTCCCTGTAGGGTCCCCGTAGGGTCCCCAGCCCCATGGGGACAGGGACATGTCCCTGTAGGGTCCCTGTAGGGTCCCTGTAGGGTCCCCAGCCCCACGGGGACAGGGACGTGTCCCTGTAGGGTCCCTGTAGGGTCCCTGTAGGGTCCCCAGCCCCACGGGGACAGGGACGTGTCCCTGTAGGGTCCCCAGCCCCATGGGGACAGGGACGTGTCCCTGTAGGGTCCCTGTAGGGTCCCCAGCCCCACGGGGACAGGGATGTGTCCCTGTAGGGTCCCTGTAGGGTCCCCAGCCCCACGGGGACAGGGATGTGTCCCTGTAGGGTCCCTGTCTGTCCCCAGCCCCATGGGGACAGGGACATGTCCCTGTAGGGTCCCTGTAGGGTCCCCAGCCCCATGGGGACAGGGACGTGTCCCTGTAGGGTCCCTGTAGGGTCCCCAGCCCCACAGGAACAGGGACGTGTCCCTGTAGGGTCCCTGTAGGGTCCCCAGCCCCATGGGGACAGGGACGTGTCCCTGTAGGGTCACCAGCCCCATAGGAAGGGGTCAGGGCCATGTCCCCACCCCGCCAGGCTCTCCCAGGGGGTGTCACCGCTGTCCCCCATGCTCAGGGATGTCCCCAGCCCTGTCCCCACCCTGAGATCGTCACTGGGGGTGCCCTCTTTGGGACCTCCCCCCATGTCACCCCCATTGTCACCCCTCTGTCACCTCCATTGTCACCTCCATTGTCACCCCCATTGTCACCCCCATTGTCACCCCCATTGTCACCCCCCTGTCACCTCCATTTCACCTCCATTGTCACCCCTCTGTCACCCCCATTGTCACCTCCATTGTCACCTCCATTGTCACCCCCATTGTCACCTCCATTGTCACCCCCCTGTCACCTCCATTGTCACCCCCATTGTCATCCCCCTGTCACCTCCATTGTCACCCCTCTGTCACCTCCATTGTCACCTCCATTGTCACCTCCATTGTCACCCACTGTCACCCCCATTTTCACCCCTCTGTCACCTCCATTGTCACCCCCATTGTACCCCCCTGTCACCGCCATTGTCACCCCCATTGTCACTCCTCTGTCACCCCCCTGTCACCTCCCTGTCACCCCCATTGTCACCCCCATTGTCACCCCCATTGTCACCTCCATTGTCAACCCCCCCCCCGTCACCTCCATTGTCACCCCCATTGTCACCTCCATTGTCAACCCCCCCCCGTCACCTCCATTGTCACCCCCATTGTCACCTCCCTGTCACCTCCATTGTCACCCCCCTGTCACCTCCATTGTCACCTCCATTGTCACCCCCATTGTCACCTGCATTGTCACCCCCTGTCACCCCCATTGTCACCCCCTGTCACCCCCATTGTCACCCCTCTGTCACCTCCATTGTCACCTCCATTGTCACCCCATTGTCACCCCCATTATCACCCCTCTGTCACCTCCATTGTCACCTCCATTGTCACCCCATTGTCACCCCCTGTCACCCCTATTGTCACCTCCATTGTCACCCCCCTGTCACCCCCATTGTCACCCCCATTGTCACCCCCCTGTCACCCCCATTGTCACCCCTCTGTCACCTCCATTGTCACCCCCATTGTCACCCCCTGTCAACCCCATTGTCACCCCCTGTCACCCCCATTGTCACCTCCATTGTCACCTCCATTGTCACCCCCATTGTCACCTCCATTGTCACCTCCATTGTCACCCCCACTGTCACCCCCATGTCACTGCCATTGTCACCCCTCTGTCACCCCCATTGTCACCCCCATTGTCACCCCCATTGTCACCTCCATTGT